CCTCATAACCTTGTGTATGAGAGATGTGGGAGAAGCTTAATTCACATTAAGCACCTTTCCCTACATATTGGTGGCACCGTACGGGTCCATTTTTAATGGTAACTCATGATATTTTTCTCATTAAAATATTATCTTTTGTGCACTGTGGAAAAACACTGTTTTTCTTCATGTTGGCAATAATCAAAGTGTTATTATAAGAATTTTATGGCTGATTGGTGCTCAGAGAATAGCAAAAAACTGCAGATTTTGTTGTTTTCTGTCATTTTGAAGTTATAAATATGTCTGTAACATTAATTATTGCTGAAAATAAGCTGTTCACGACTGTTCAAGGTTATGACGTCAGACCAAGAGCAAGTCGCTTTTTCTCTCTCATTATAGCTGAAAGCTATTTTTAAATCCATAAAGTAACAGTAACTCTATCACTCCAAGTGGGGCAATTCCGGTCTATTCTCTTCAGTCCTCTCATTGTTCCATTTCTTCCTGGCTAACCTCTTCCTCTGGATAAATTCCTGCTCTTCACTATTCCACCACCAGGTTTCCTGACCATCTTCTCATCTTCTTGATTAAGCTGATGTGACAAATGTGAATTATTTTGATTCATCTGCCAACAATAAAATTGTATTTTGTATTTACCATTACTGTTCTGTCCAAACATTTTCTGATCTGTGTTTTGTAACCCTAACTGTACAACAATGCTCTAATTACCAATATTTGTCCTACATGTGTTAAAGCTTATGAGCGTATAAACACAAGTTTTACCATTAAAGTGCTCGTTAATGACATTAGAGTGGGATGAAAATAGCTCTCTCTTTTTCAGAACATCTCACGGAGGTCTCTGGGGAAAATCCTTCTCAGCACTTTAGAGTCTGGCAGCAACCCTCAACATGGTAAGAAGAGCTCGTTCAGCCTATAAAATCAAAACAAACAGTGTGAGATGCAGCAGTAAAATGTACCATAAAGCAGGTCAGAAAGGAGTTTTCATTGGGCTTCCAGTCGGGGATCACATGTGCTGTGTTTCTACACAGGCAAAGCCCACATTCTGGAGGTACTCGATGCTCTTTACCATGAACTGGCTGCTTGTGAGATTCTGTCTGCTGGTGGGCCCCTGGAGAGGACGCAGAGTCAGCCGACACTCATCTCATATTGAACAAGACTGTCTCCATATGGACTCACAATGCTATAGCATCTTCTCATTGGCATCTTAACAACTGTTCATCAAGCTAATTAATGTGTATAGTGTATTATATTGTAGCTTCTATGGTCCTGAAGATTTTTGAAATGCTGCCTTTTACATGTTTTTATACTTTTTATTGTACAAATACTTCAAAATGGATTTTTAAAAATCTTTTTCCCTCAATGTTAATGAATTAAAATGAGATCAACTTTAAAAAGCTAGGATCCTGGATGAGTGGTGTGGTTATGTTGGGTTTCTACATCTGTTTCGTGGTCACCAGGGTTAACCACGGTCACGTCTAAGGATAATCCGGCTTCATTAAGAACCAAATTGTGTTTTTGAACTCTGTCAAGACTGTCCCTTATCTCTGATCTTGTTTGGGGTGTTCATGAACAGTTTCAAGAAGCTGAGCTGAAAGGCAAATCTCTTAATTTACTGGATTATCTATATTCCGACCCTAATAATGGTCAAAATATGGATCATGACCAAGAGATTTTGTATGTTCTCTGGCCTTTGAACACCTCAGGAGGAGCTGGAGAACTGGTTGAGTAATTTTCAGATCCTGCTTTTCATGTCGGCTGCTAGAATCTGATAAAATAAAATGTTTTTCTCTGCTGCTTTGTGTGGGGATCTACCAGCTGCCCATGTTTAATAGTAATTTTATTCAGGACTTTATGAACTTATTGTGAGCTTTTATTTTAGATTATGATCRGATTTTGATTGTTGGAGATTTCAACCTTCATGTGTGTTGTGAGACCAAGCCGTTGAGGACAGACTTTTTGAACTTAATCTGCTCTGATTCAATTAGTTAGTGGTCCAACACATGGAAAGGGACACACCCTGGACTTGGTTTTAATTTATGGTTTATGTAATGGAAATAATACTTTTAGGTTGAAGCCAGTAATTCATAACATACTTTAATGACAGGTTTTCATGACATGCTGTTTATCATAGATAGAATGAAAAAAGTCAGAACAAGATCTGCTAAAAACAGTCATTCTTAGATATCACTTGTGTTTATCTTTGTGTTTTCCCTTGACCCAGCATTTCCTTAGGAAGAAATCTTGCTTTATTAAGATGACATAATTATGGTGGCCGACAGGTGCAAATGCACAGGAAAGACTAAATGATTTGCAAATGGAATAAAACGATGATAATGCAAATGATGCATTCATAAAATCAACTGCATGTTATAAAAATGATGCAAATTTTAAAAAAATGCTGCAAAGTACAAATGATGCATGTATAAATCTGATTGCATGTTAGAAAAATGATGCAAGTTCAAATAAGTAAACGCTGCAAAATAAAAATCCTGCATTCATAAAATTGACTGCAAGTTAGAAAATGTTGCCAACTTCAAAACGCAAACACAAACAACAAATGTAAGAAAACGATGTTGCAAAGAAAAAAAAAGGATGCATTCTAAAAACAGACTGCGTGTTAGAAAAATGCTGTAACTTCAAAAACACATAACGAAAGTGCTCCAGACCACTAGGGGGACACGACCACCGCCTCATATGGGACCAGACAAATTGTAAACGCAGCAATATATATTTTTATCACACACACACATTATATATCACTGTAAGGAGACCAGAGTCAAATTATCTCCAAGAACATGTTAGAGAAGGATGAAGGTGCAGAAGGTAGTTATTGTTTTTAATATAAAAGGTGACTAGCTCAGTTTGTCATCATGTCATGTAGCACAAAAATAAAGTAGATAGTGGATTTATGATGAAATATTTTATATTATTTAATTCTTACTTAAACTCTTGTCTAATTTATCTTTTATTCCATCTCTTAATCTGAATCCTGCTGTTCGGTTAAAGTCATACTTTGAGCTTCTGTTGTTTTATTTTTCTATATTCTTTTATTGTTCTTTTGCACTTTGTCAAAATGTTTTGGTTGTGTAAAATACTGAGTTGTCCTGTWACTAAAATAATTTACATAAAGCTGCCTTGCCTCAGGGTCAGCAGAACAGTAATTATTAGACAGTGGACTGATGATAAATTGTCAGATATTAAGCAACTTCTCTTTAACTTAGGATACTGTTTACACTACTCTGTGGCCAAGAGAGTTAATCATCCTGAAGACTGGAGCCAGGTGGAGAACAAACCATCAGATGGTTGAAGTACAGGTGGAGACGTCTTCATGACCTGAGGAACATCAGGACTGATGCTGGAGCTTTGATACATGTGTGCATTAAAGTGTCAGAAATACTCAGAAACACCACGACAGGCCAGAGCAGGGAGATGAAAATGAATCAATGAAAAATATTCATTTCATTTTATTGTGACCATTGAAAGAAATATTGGTGGTAAAAATTTATTTTGATAAAAATTATCAAAATATTTATGTCACACTGTAGTAATAGCAGTACATTATATTATGTGTTAGGGTGTTTAGTTATTTGTGATACTTGTGTTTCATTAAACAACAGTTAAACAATTTACTGTTTTATTTTCATTGTTTCATATACCACTCACAGCTAATAGTTAAGTAAAAACAAGTGGTGTATATTCAAAAAAAATCATCAAAGTAAAATCGTCACATAATATCAAAAATGAAAACTTCTGGTAAACTTTAGTATAAACAGATACATAAAACATGTTAAAGAGTTTTAAAATTATGTCACGACCTGGTGTTTGACTTCCTCAGCTCTAAACAGGACATTTTAAAACTAAAYGTKCAAAAACAGAACTTCAGCTGTCATGAAGTCTTTAAAACCCTGATGGACAGACATTGTTCCAGTGTCTCACATGCAGTTGATTTTATGAATGCATCGTTTTTACTTTGCAGTATTTTGTCCGTTTGCAAAGCATTTACTCTTTGCTGCGCATTTGCACCTGTCGGCCACCGTACATAGTAGTGTTTGTTAAACATATGAGGCCTCAGCTGCCTCAGAGAAGCAGAACCAGGAGCAGAGAGCAGGGGGGACAGTCAGATGGCTCTGTGTTGTTCTCTGTGTTCCTGTTGTTGCAATAAAACTCAGCTGATCATTTCCACGGAGTACCTTCATTCTTGGACCACGTATTTCTGTCTTTGTTAAATAAATATTTCCATAACAGTTTACATGGACGTGTTAATGAAATTATTGATTCTGGTATTTCTGATGATAAACTGTAAATGCACTGTACTTATACAGGGCCTTTCTATCCAACCAGGATACTCAAAGCACTTTACAATCTGTGTCCTCATTTAAACATTCACACACACATTCATTCTGTTATGTCTCTCTACAAAGCTGGCATGTACAAATCATTCTGTAGAGACTGATCAGTGCTTCAAATCACATTCATACACTTACAGGATAAACACCAGARGCAATGCCAACTCTCAGTTTAGAGAACGACTCCCTTAACCACTCAGCCACAGCCGCCCCATCATTTGCCTGTCTTATTTGTAACATCTGTGCCTGACTCGAGCACAACTCCACATATCCATGACCTGATCAATGCAAAGACGTCATAATTTAGGGCTGCTTGTCCTGACTTTGAGTTTCCTCCTTTGTGTCACAGTCTGTGTGGGTGTGTATCTGTTATGTGGGTGTTTTTAGATACTCTTCTTTGTTTTGTATTACTTTTTCTCCATTTCAACTACTCCTGCCTCTCTGCTCCAGCCCCGCTGGCTCGTTAGTCCCACTTTATATTCTGTTGTGTCCTCAGCCTGATCCCCGTTTCAGAAAGTAGGATGAGTGGATATGCTGAGTAAGTTCTGGGGTAACTGTGCATATCCTGGGTTTTTGGTTTCAGAAAGCCAGATAGCCGTTATCCTGAGTCAACTTACCTCCACAACTTACTCCATGAACAAATCCTGCATTTGTCTCACTTTTTATCTGAGAGCTGCAACAGGAAAGTGTCAGAGAGGGTGTGGCCTATTCTAGAGGAGCCTGTAGATGTTGGAGTGTTAATAATCTGCAGAAATCTACATCAGAAGAGGGTGATAAGACCGCGATTAGAAATCTTGTYATTTCTGGATAAAAATACGTTTGAGATTAGATGTTTTTGATTGCTCAGGTTTCAAGCCTTTCCTTCAAGAACAGTTTGTAGCTGTTTCACAGGAAGGTTTAGGGCAGGGGTCCGCAGACATTTTCCTGTAAAGAACACATAACTTTTCCCTTCTCTGGTGGGGGGCCGGAGTCARTTTGTAACAGAAAAAGTGTGACTATTGCAGGAGTGCCTAAATGGAAAAATTTATTGTTTTCCAGAAAGCACAATCAAATAACCCTCTCTGGTTCTTCACAGTATGTATTCTGCTGAGCTAACAGTCCACTTTTTAGCTTT